AAAAAAAAAAAAAAAAAAAAAAAATCTGAAAGGATCAAAAATAATAACTTGCCTATCCAACTAACGCTATTATTCTAAATTTTAACCATTTCATTTTCTGCGTTTTTTTTTTATATCATTTCTATTCGAATATTTCGTATTATCCAATCTTTTATACGATTGCAATAAAGTTAACTATTTTCATATAAAAAGCTCAGTGAGCAATTTGATCCCTACAATTTGTCAATGCTGCAAAAAAATTAAACCCATAATTATTCTATTAACTATTGTGATGAAAATATTGTACAAATAATTTAGGCCCTATACATTATATTATTAGATCTTATATATGATTATAATATTTATTAGCTCAATATTTTGACATTGTTATCAACAATTTTTTGTTTGGAAAAGAAACAAGGAAATAAATGTGTGGTAACTCACAAAAGAGGAAAAAAGGTTAATTATGAATTTGAATTACCAATCCCTAATACAATTATGGTCTAAAAAACACAATTTGTGCTGTAAGCCATAAAAACTGTCTCCGTGAACCCAGGGATTTTTTCTGACCAAAGCTCTAATCAGCCCCTTGGTTCAGACCTCCTTCCCCACACCCCGTCGGAAATGTCGGAATTTTTGGAACCACCGCTGGAGACACTAATGTGTGGCCTAGATGATGATCAGCCACACTGTAAGACGGCATACCCTCTCACCAACATAGGAACTGAGATGGCACGTCCGCGCGGGGTGTTATAATATCAATGCAACACGTATCACATCTCTCATTATTACGGTTTAAGAGTCAAAAGATAATGAATCAGATAATAATTGTTCAGTATTCCTGAACAAAAAGGTGAATAACTAGACTCCAACAGCTGTGTTGATCTTCCTTCAGATAAGCCTTTGTGATCACACTTGTGCGTGATTCGATTTTAAGTAATTTTATATAGACCTAATGGATTTGGTCTATCAGTAGACATATGCGACTCCGACAACATTATGCATACAGAGTCGAATCCTTATCTGGAGTCATAGATCCAAGTGTTTTCTATTTCCTGAATCTATGAAATTTAAAAAGCATATACGTTATTTTCCGTCTCATCTTTATCAATAAAAAAAAAAACATGAAGAATATAAGCTCTAACATATTTCCTCCATGCTCTAAAATAGAAATCCCATAAAAACTGGTAATTAGGCCTATGTTATTTACACAGAATCTAAGGGAATTCACTGGCATTACAGGCATTTTCCGCGGGTGGAAAAGTTCATTTTGAGTAAAATTTTAAAACTAAGTTTGTAATTTTATGTGAACGATGATATTGATTATGATTAATGTCTAATAATAAATATGATGGAGCAAGTTTGCCTTGCATACACTGAAATATTATTCAATTATTAACCGTGGGTGTATAAACAGAAAATCTAAGAAAAACTTATCCAAGGAATCTTATATGAAAAAAAAAACTGCGAAGGTTATAGCCATAATAATAGTAATTAAATATTTTTTATTCTATTTGTTAAGCTTTAGAAATAAATGTGTGCACAATTTTAAGTAAACCTACACATTTATTTGATAACTTTATTAAGAAATAGGCCTATGTAAATATCCAAATATTTACTTTTAATAATATAGAAAACAATAATATTGTACAATCTATATAATGTATTGTTTAATAATAGATTAATGGATAGGCATTATGGAAAAAAATAATTAATAATCTAACGTTTAATAGGGGTTGTTTAATATACCGTATAGTATAGTGTGTTATTGTTTTCATTCCCCTCTACAGACGCCATCATTAGGGCTTTCTAACAAATCGTCTGCTACAAAGGTAACTATTAGAATTGTACGTATGTACGATACGTAGGCCTACGCACAATGTTTTGTTATCGTCGTACCGCAATCTAATGTATTCTGAAGACTTAAGACATGAGCAATGCCGCCATTTCGAGAACCCACAATCGAATTTCCGTATACTTGAGATTTTAATCGGTAGACGAGATAATTTTAATACAAAATATCATTAGTATGCCAATACTCGTTACAAAAACTTTTGCCACGTTTGCAACAACTGCGTTACTGCTGCAATAGCATGATTGATCTGCTTGCCATTGTGGGCAGTCATTCCCCGCTTGGCATTCAACCACCTTCTTTGCTTCTCTTTCGCCACTTTTAAGTGCTCCTATAACAAAACCACTTAGGTCGGTCGTATGTTCACCACCAAAGAAAAGTCTATCAACGCGTGACTGCATCTTGATGGAACACTCCTCTTCCAACGTTGGTGTCCAAGCAGAATACGCTCCCATCGTCAACGGGTTCCGCGTCCATCCTGAAATGAAAATATCCGTCGCGTTTGGAACGTTCTCATAGCCGAAAATACCACGTAGAACAGCCTCGATTTCAGCTTTCGTCACTTCGTCTGATTGAGCTTCAATCCTTCTAGACTCGTCACCTGTTGCCTCAACAAGTAATGCGTTTGTTCCAACTGGATACAGGCCTATGAATCCCCAAAAATAAAGTTTCACAATTAGCATACAATGCATAATCGAATTACATAATTTTGTCGGCAAGCATAAACTTGTAGGCGGAATTCCCTCTTCCCGAGGAGCCTCCTGAAAAGTGTAAATGAAAAGTTTACCGTCAAATTTGAACATAAAAGTAGACGACGGCTTGTTGTGGGATGATTTTTTTTATAAACTCTACATGGGACGGTGTATGTTGACTCGCCGAGTTGCGCTCTCCATCGATCGCGACTACGACCGTCAACCGAACAACACATGTTAGTGCACGGTTTACGAATCTGTTCAGATTAAGCGGACCTTGTATTAAAACAAGGTCGTGGACGACACGATTCTATGAAGAACGCAACTCCACGATGCGCGCGCAACGGATCGCTTTTAATGACGATCCGTTCAGACTGCCACAGACAATCAGTAGACGGCGTTACGTCGTTTAGCGCTCACATGGAGTGGAGTTGCATTCGGCGAAGGTCCTACGACCGTCGTACGATTACGACGCAGTGAGTGCCCAGCTACTAGACTGATTATTCACGCGGTTTCTTGAGAAACAACAAAGAACCACATTTTCACAATCTTTGATACAATAATTGGAATGGTAAAAAAAATGACAGTCATTATAATTTAGAAATCAGTGTACCAACCTTCTGCTTCTAAGTTCATGTAAAACGGATATTTCCCACGTTGATCACTAGTTCTCATGATAATCTCTCGTTCACCCCAAAAATTCACAGGAAATTGTACATAAATCTTGCTATAGGATGCCATTTCGAGGCGGTTAAGCGTTCGGAGTTTCCAACCCGGTAACTGGGGCTTGAAGGTGACCAACTGGTTTTGTAGGACACCTAAACTGAATGTGACTATGGCACGGTTTGCCTGATACTGTGTCCCGTCATCGCAAGTTACAAGAACATAATCGCCTGATGATTGATCAATAGTTGTTATTCGTTTGTTAAGAAGAATCTTGTTGCTGCGAGTGAAAAAAAAAATTCGGTTAATCAATCAATCATTCAAGCAATTTATATAGCGCCACAATACACAAAACAAATGTTCAAAGGCGCTCGAACAGCAAAGTCTTACATTTCCTCCTAAATTGTAACTCTTTGAGACATTCTAATATCATGTGGAAGAGAATTCCAGAAACGACAGATGCAACAAATGGACCTTTCCGCTAAGCCCCGCCCCTTGGATATTGTTGCTAAGGTCCCACAAGGCGACAGTGTTAAAACATAGCGAGCACGTGCGTTTGTGGGACAACACGTGTGTTTGTGAGACGCGCGCGTATTCCTAGCGCTGTTCTGATTAGTCAGTTGTTAAGTTTGATTGACACTCCGGAAAGGTCTATTAAAGCAAGGCCCGGAGGAAAAATGTTTTAAAATGTTGTACAACGGATTTTTCTAGGACACAAAAAGCATATTTGACGAAAACTCGGGAACGGTTATTGAGATACAGATTTTTGAATATTTAAAAACTGGGGAAAAGGGGCGTAACTAAATATGCTTTTTGTGTCTTGGACAAATCAGTTGTACAACAAATCATGTTTTCCCTCCAGAACCTGACTATAACATGTTCGCATTCTCCAAACGTTGCAACAGTGAGAATTTATAGAATGAATAGGCCAACATTGAAAATCTGAATTATTTTTACTGGAACATTTTTTAATCATTTAATATTCAACCTCACATCAATCCCGGAGAGCAAACGTTTACAAAAATATCAATAATATTAATATTATTATAAAATAATCATTAATGGTTGTAGGTTAGGTCTTAATTTTAAATTTCTCAATTTTTATTATTGAATCTTTTTGTAAACTCCAGGATCAAGTATTCAAACAAAGATATTATGTACAAATAAATCAACAAGGTAAATGGTCAAGACAAAAGTTGTATGGAGGAAAATTTTTAAAACCATTTTTCATTGGATATAAATATTATTTTTAAAATTACCGTTGATATTCATCGGATAAAAACTGCATGGTGGCGTTAAAGATGTACTTAAATCCACGTGGATCTTTAACTAGTAGGAGTTTTTCCTCGTCTCCAACCCGTTTAATGAATTCACCAATTTCAGTTGAATGGTATTTTAAAGATGAAACCTAGATGAAAATAATAGGATTACTGTTTTATTCACGCAAATTGTACACCGGGAGACAATATACCGGCAGGCGTAATACTTTTCTATCCTATAATTCTCTGTTATGCACTTCAAAAATATCAAATTTCCAGACCTCAGACATTCAACAGTGGCGGATTTAAGGGGGCCCAGTCGACTCGACTCCCCACCCCCACCCTAAATTTTTCAAAACTTAAAAAAAAAATATCGGAGAAAAAAAAAAATTATATTCAAACTTAATTGTGAGAGTGCCATTTCCAGTCACCTATTGTCTCATGCCCAACCAGGTGTGGCTGATGTGGTATTGACCTCGATTCTGTGAGTCTTTCCTTGGGCCCTCTCTTTCCGAATTCCTGAATCCGCCACTGCAAAACCCGAGTCTCTTTAGTTGATATTCAGTTACTATGATAACTATAATGCATCCAGGGGTAGGCTAGGTATGTCAGTCCACAACGTTTTAATTTCCCGGTAAACCATAACCTAACCTTATACCTGTATATCCTGGAGTAGGGACGTCACTTAACGTCCAAATGACCAGCATACCTATAACCTAAACGAACTAGGCATTCTGGAGTCCGGACGTTACTCAACAAAGCTGACCCTCAATTAATTTTTTTCTGACAGAACATTGCATCACGATAGAGACGTACAGTAGGTGACCCGCATGTCGTACCATGATATTCGCATTCTGAGGACCTCTCTGACAGCATTTTTGTTGAAAAAAATAATTGATAGGTCTATGTAAGAGGACGCATGCGAAAATCAAGTGAGATAGTGTTGAATGAAAGAAACGAATTGTGAGCCCACGAAAGAGAAGAAAATATCAATCACGGTAATTTTGAGGATCATTAATATTGTAGAGCTGCAGGGGTTGGGGGTGGGGGAGGATGGATGAAGTGGTTGAAGATAACTCTGCTGCTCGTAGTACAACTTCTGATTGAAGCATTCGTTGGATTTGAGTGCAGTTAGATGGGTTAGGCCTACTAAGTATCGGGTCACTATTAAGCTATTATGTACTGTATACATTAATCATTGGAAAATATCAAAAGCCTGAACGCACAACTATAGCCTAGTTGCTTTCTTTTATTTTTATTTCAACAATGTTTAAAGAGGGATATATAGCAGGCAATCGAATTAATGTCCTAATGCAACGCAATATACATAATAAAAGCATCTAAACAAAGGAAGAAACTCGATCACGAAATACACTACCTCAGGTATATCTGCTATTTCATAGTCAATGTACGACCATTCGATTGCGTGTTCAAGTGGTGTTTTTGGCAACCAACCGACAGTCCTCAGCGCCGATCGAATCGACATATCTGTGTCACCAATTTCCCAAAGTTCTTCAGCGATAGCAAATGCTTTTCGAAGCTTCTCGTCCATCTGTAGAATTACTGTGCATTATTATTATACATTACATAGTCAACACATGCTCCTGGGCTACAAATTGCCATTGTTCCTTATGTAGCAATAATTTCGTTTGAAGTTGAACAATTAACTACTAGATTTATACATTGATTTTCGTGGATTAGGACGTGTCGTTTAAGAGGTGGCTGCAAATGTTGAAAAGTCCTCCCATCTGGACCAACAGACATTGGACCAAATGCAAATGCCAGAAATTGTCTTTCAGAAGAGAATTCTATATTATTACTGTATGAATACTAAATATACAACGAAAGCAATTCATATACAAACATATTGTTCAAATTCATTAGCTCGCGACACAGATAGACATATAGCCTACCAGCTGAGCTTGCCCAAGTCGAATCCAAAATGTCATGGAAAAATTGCTCAACTTAGATAAGATTCGACTTACAGATCGTTAATTAATGGAAAACAACAATTTGGGATGCCAAGTAAGATCGACTTGTTATCCGAGTTAAGCAAAGTCGACTTTAGGTTTATATTTTTCTTCTTCAGTCTAAATATTTGTTTATTCTTTGATATATAAAAACTTGAAAATAAAAAAAAAAAAACATGAGAAGATAATTAATAGGCACTTACCACATCAAACATTTCAATCGCTTCATCAGTTATATTGTGACCAGTACTGTTGTAAGCAACGTAGGAAAACCAGTTGGTAAGGTGAGTTTCCATTCCCAGGTCCCTCACTAAATCCTCTAGTTCCCCACCACCGGGCTGGGCCCAGTTGGCACCTTGCTCTACACGAACACCAGCAAATTCCACATCATGCACACGGCCCCCTATGTAGTCTGCACCCTCAAGAATCAAAAAATCATCAACACCATTATCAATTAGAGTTTGCGCTGCCTGCAAGCCGGCCGCTCCTGCCCCAAGAATTAACACCGACACTGAATTCTCAACAGACTCACTCCATGATCCAACAAAACAAGATAATATGCTTAATAATAATACAACTGGATACATATTCATATAAAATAAACGTGAAGTCTACTTATGAAGACACACGTAGATATCCGAGAGAGTACGATCACGTCTGATCTGCTCAATTGAGTACAGCAAGTTGACTATTTGTACAAATATGACAATGAATGATTAGTATTAGACGTGATAACATAAACTTCCTTATGGAACTTATGGACCCGCTACTCTGTTGAAATTCGTGTTAGCGACACGCCCACTATAAAACAAATATTGCGGTGCAAATATCACGTGACTGATAACGTCATAAGACTTTTTCCGTATTTGATTAATTTCTTGCCTAAAGTTAAAATTACTTTTGGCTGACTTGAATTGGGCTAATATCAAATCAAATCAAATTCAGTAACATTTATTTCGTAATGGTCATAAGAAAGAAAAACATACATATGAATAATAATAGGTATAAACACAATTCATCTGACTGACGACCGGGCGATAAAAAAAAACCAAGTGCAGTAGGCCAAGATCTGAACAGTTTTCATAAAGTATGTCACTATGTCACCGATATGCAAACAATTAGGTGAAAAAAGGCTTCAAGTAACAATAAACGTGTATTTGCATAATTCAACTGCTTTAGAAATATATTTTCAACAGCTTTTTGTAGGACACCGTGCCCTAGCAGCAAGAAAATATATACTAAAGAATGGAATCGAGTCTTTTCACATCTTGTTCTGGAGAAAGGTAAACATGAATAAATCGAAAAAGCTCTTCTATTCTGCAGTAAACACAGTGATCTGAATCTGTATACATTAAGTTAATAAATAGTAATTATAATTATAACTGAGCAGTGCTTCACGTGAAGGCGAGGAAATGAGTTTGACTGATTAAAAGGCATGGGAATCTTAAGTTGTGACAGATATGTTACTGTAGGGGAATGGCAGGGGTGGCGCCAGCGGGGGCCGGGGGCCAGGCCTCCCCCGTCGGGGAGAGCTGCCCCACCACCCCGTCTGGGAGAAAAATCACAATTCGTCGGGGAGAAAAAAATATTATATGTATTTTTTACATATTAGTAGATTCTTAAATCCATTAAATAAGCCTTTGAAACCCATAAATTGTCGAAATTTTCGGGGGCTCCGCCCCCAGGACCACTTTCGGAAAGTTTTAATCGAAGCTCCACCACGCCCACTTTGCTTTCGGGGAAATCTAACACCTCGTCGGGGGCACCGACCCCCCTCGGGGACCTCGGCACCCCCGTCGAGCAAATCCTGTCGCCACCCCTGGGGAAGGGTTTTCTAAACATTTGATGACGTATTCGTATTCGTTATCGTAAACTTGCAAAAACTCCCCATTGTCTTGTGTTAACTTTTAGTAATACCCAAGGAGTGCAGCTTATAGCGGAAAGGTTCATTGCCTCAAAACGAAATAAACAACAAATCAAATCTATGATGATGATGTTTATTATGATATTCATTGTAAGAGAAGCATAAGAGAAGCATAATAGAAGGAAATCTTCGGCTTTAAATATATCTAGTTTCGTTAATAATTTGAGATATTCATAAAATAATATACCATGTTTATTCGAATAAACCCCCGGTGCGTTTATTGTTAAGAAGGGTCTTTGAAGGGGATGTTTGTTCTGGGGAGGCGTTTATTTTTTTGGTGTAAAATGTGTATGTATATACTCAAATAAACGCTCCTTAATATCTCTGTAAATGTGGAACTACAACACAATACAGCCAAAATGTGTTATTTCCTGATCCTGAAGACTTAATAATCCCAACCAAGGTTAAAGAAATGTAATTCTATTTTCTATTATATTAATAGAATGTGTTGAGAATAATGTTGCTTCCATTAGTTCTTTTTACTGTTGCTTCCATTAGTTCTTTTTTACAGCAATTTGGGGGGGGGGGGTCGGGGCGCTTATTCGAGGAAACGCATCAGTGCTGCGTCTATTCCAAATAAGGCTCCGGAGGGGCGTTTATTCAATCAGGGAATTTATTTAAAGCAGGGTGTTTATTCAAATAAATACAGTACTCACTTCTTAAAATATGTATTAAAAAGTGAGAAAATACCCAATTAGTATTGTAAATAACACCCAAAATATTATTGACAATAAATAACATATTCCTAAGTTAGTAACATTCCAAAATAATTATTGATAATAATTTATCCTGCATTGTTTCTGTTATCAATTCTGCAAATGTAAACATGTGGAGGTTACTATGCTGTGATGCACTGTATAACCTTCTATGCATGGTAAGATTATAACACATCACATGACTATCACATGCATGTGATAATGTCTGCTTACACTTATTATTTATTCAGGCAACACACTGAATACAATAAAATAATGATAATAAATAAATGAATGATGAGTTAAAGAATGTAAAAAAAAGAACACAAAATGTACTAGATGGATTGCAATTGCCATAAAATATTTTGCACTGTTTTTTTTTTTTTTTAAATCTAAATTCCACATACAGTACTATATTTCTGCAATTAAAAGCCAACCCCTTGAGACATGGGATTGTGTCAAGCTTTGGAGTTGCTCATACATGGGGATCAGTAAATGGAAAAAACAAAAAGCCAGCAGACCTACCTAGTCTTAGATAGGTTTAACCTACGCCGCACAAATAGTTCAGCCTAGTGGACCCAGCACTTGCAAAGAAGGACTAGTTTGCTTTAGCACTAGGCTTAGCTAGCATTTTGATGCTAAATTCCAATGTAATATATTTCATATTTGACATATTATACTTGTTATTGTTAGCACACACAGCTGGGTATGTAGAACTTTTGTTCAAACCTTTAAAGTTAGGGATCAGCATGTACCATGGAGGAGTGGTTATATACTTATTATATTATTGATTCTTTTGCAAGGTACATACTCAAAAGTTAGGCAGCACACTTATTATTACCTAGGTGGGCTTAAACTCAAGAACTTATGGTATATAATATTTATAACTTTGTTATACCTAAGCTGAGCAATATGCAGCAACGGGTAAATTAAGTTTCATAACCTGCCAGTCTGGCACAATAACATTCATCAAAAATATTCACTAAAAATCTGTGGAGATACAAATTTGTTGATCTAAGCCACTAAAGATCATTTTCCTCTTTTGTTCGTAACAGCGTTTCTACAAATTCATCTATGTCACTTGCATTTGCTTCATATTTTGCTAATTGATCTGGAACTTCCCCCTGCAAAGAAAATAAATTTTAACAAACAGCAAAAATATACACCTTTTAAAGCTTTTATACTTTAGTGATATCTGATAGATATTTGACGAATATGCTAAATATTTCATGAATATGTAACCAATATTTATTGTGAATATGCACTAGATATTAGGATTATCAAACAGGCATTTGATGATGCAATATAACTGATAAACAACTCATTTTCAACATGTAATATAACTCATATAAAAAACTCATTTTCAACATGTAAACAAATTAAAATTAGCTTACCAGTGTTTGAGATAGGCTTGGGGAATTGTGGAACATTTCTAAATTGGGAGCATATTGCAAATCTCGATAAAAACTACTAAAATCATTGCAAGGATCGGACTGAGCAAAAGCAAGTTTCTGGGGATAAAATACAGAACAATGGTTTAGTTGTGAATAGTGGTATCATTACTATTATTACAACAGATTATTTATTTTACTATTCCAGGTAAATGACAACCAGTGACGGACCCAAAATAAAGGGGGCCCAGTGAGGGACAGGTTGGTTTCTACCACCTCAGCACCACCATGGTTGGGGCTGAGGTAAGAACATTTATTATCCTTTAGATATCCACAAATGGCACTCTCCGACTTTAATTATAGTTTCTTCTTATTACCGATGCAGACAATTTTATTTTGATGTACTTGGTGAAATTAATCCTTAGCTGACATTACAGATACCGTATCTATTTGAATAAACGCCCTGGGACGTTCTTTGTTCAGAGACGGGTTTTGAGGGGGAATTTATTCGAGGGAGGGGTTAATAATGTGTTGAGAATGATGTTGATTTGTTTACAGTTATTTAGAGAGCCGTTTATTCAAGGGAGGAGTTTATTCAAAGTGGGGTGTTTATTCGAATAAATACAGTAACTGTTAATAAAGTAAAAAAAAACAAACATTGTGAATTTTTTCTTTACCCAGGAGCATAAGTGGATATTTGTATGGTTTGATTTGCACGCATATGCACTGATTTATTTCATGTAGTAAGTATAGAATAGTCCCCCAAAACAATGTTTACACATACCAAATCTACCATCACAAAATCTTCAACGTCGGAATGTTGACTTTCTGAAGACTTTTGAAGAGTAGATGTTGATGAAGGACCGTCAACCATATCCTGGTAAATTTTTTGAAAAACATATTTCAAAAAATTACACATCAATATAAGCAATGTGTTCATATTAACATCTGAAAGACTCAAAAAGTATCGTGACAAGTTTCCATAGTCTTTGTGGTTTATTGCCTTCCATACAGCACCATTTATACATGACACATTATTAAAATAATACAATTACATATTTAGTGAAAGTGCAAAAAATATTAAGGAGCTTTTGATTTGCGACTATGTAGAACGTAATGACGTCATGTTAATTTAACTGCGCCATGTTTAATGTTGTGTTATTTTCTCTCCCAAAATCTGGGATGGTTGTCAGCCGAATCTATGCTCAGGCCAGAACGAGGACTGTACAGTATTAAAAACACTAGTGCATCAGTCTTTTGCATTTGTGGCATATCTGTGTACGCTGCGTTAAAAAATAGAAAGTAGAACGCATGCTACGACAGTCATGGATGAGTGAACTTGTTCTACGTTCTCAATCGAACGCTCCCTGATAAGATACATGTGCTCAACCTTGCGGTCAGGGTTCAAATATCATGGAGTTTTATTTTGATTGTCTATTGGGAAAGCACTTTAAAAATGCTGTTCTCTCTCCAAACAGGAAATGGGTATCAGTTACGATGTCAATGCTTCCTGGCTACATTTTGCTCTTGTAGTACCTGGATCCCCAGGTAAGCTGTCAGCAACTGTGTAGTTTGCAGCGACACAATTTACTAGAGCATCGAAAATTTAAACTCTTTTATCCAACCATTTTAACCATCTGAATTTCTTCTTTCTTATCAAAAAATTGTTTATTTTAATGCTTAGCTGCAAGTTGGTTTACAATTTTTAGACATATGTAGTTTTTAGTTTTCATATCATTTTTTTAGTTCATGATCTTCAGCCTATACAATTTCCTAAAATCTTAAAGGCAATTTCATAAAAATGAATTTCTGTTACGTCTAATAAAAAGTGGAAAATAAACAATATATTGATTGTTTCATTGTTTTGTTTAATTGGTTGTTGACTGATTGACTGACTGATTGATTGATAGCTCTATCTTACCTTCTGTGTATTGACAACAACACTTTTATGTTTGGGTGATCCTGTGGGACAGGTATCGGATAACAAGGATACAAATGGTATATCCACTTGGTTATCACTAAGTTGAGGAGATTGGTTCATGCTTGCGAATGCTCCAAGCTTGTGATCTCCACTCAAGCTACTAAAACTATGATTTCTATAAAGAAAATAAATATAGCAATAAAATATATATTTATTTAAGTATTAATAATCAATTAACAAATTTTCTATTACAACATTATTATAAGCATGCACCCTCTGTAATCTGCAAATTTGTATACATGCAACAAAAAATTGTTATGGCTGATAGTAATACTTGTAATCTATACTCACCTTTGACCTTCAAACGCATTCTCATGGGTTTCTGATTGGCCAGCTATTGCAAATTGATGAGTTACAGGCGTTTGAGATATGTCATACCTGTCGTACATAGCTTTGTCCGGAGGTGAGGTAGAAAAGACTGTAATGTAATCTGAATAGGAATCTGTATGCATGGTTCCTTCTCCAGACCTACTAACCAATCAAAGAATTTCAATGATGTAGTAATTTAATTTATAACAGTAATTGCAATATCAACAATAACAACACTCCCTCCCCCTTTTGTACACAAAGGTAAATACAGAAAATTATACAATAATATAAGTGGTTACCTGTTTTTATTGGATGTGCAAGGTTGACATTCTGTTGTACTTTTTGGACTTCCATAGTGATCATCTGATACTTTCATGGGATTAGAATTACTCCGTTGTAACGATCTATTAAATTAGTTAAAATATTAAAACAATTAAATAGACAGGCTCTGATGCTTATACACATTGGGATAATAACATCTCTCAGATGAGACATCATGCAGCCTTGTATTCAACCAAAACATACTTTCAACTTAAAAACCAAGAACAAATTTACAACAAAATTTTAAAATATGGAAGAAACTTGAATTAATTCAACTATTCATAGCCCCGATATAGCCCCCAACTCTGGCCCACCAAAGATTTTAATTTTCTGGGTATTGTACTCATCGTCGGGTAATTTCTGATGCTGGAATTGTTTTTTAACTACTCGGAATAATTCTAGTGGTAGGATAGGAGAACCTGGGTTGCAAGTTTTTTTTGTTATTCCCACCCTTCCCCATGTTAGTGCATTTCCTTCGTTTTTACAAAACAAGGCCTACCATACAGGTAGTTGATGTTGAAAAACCAAGGCTAATACAGTAATAGGCCTATTATTAAGACTTCTAGGCCTATAAAAGATAATGGGTAGGGCTGACATCAAGATTGGAAGTACACATGTCAGCCCGCTGCTGACTGGAACAGTCCACCAGCTTAAAAAGTTTGAATACCCAGGATTTATAGGGCATTCAAGTTTATATCTGGGAACATGCATCATATTGCAGAACTTCAGCCCACTGGCTGAATCACAAGAAGAGCAGTGAACAGAATTAAACCAGGTAGCAAAGGTCAACAACAGATCTACATTATTCAGTGCACATACAGTTGCTACCACCAGTTTATTGAAATGAGCTAAGCTACACTCTTTTAAGGGCTTTTTTTATGAGTATATCATGAATCATAATCATTCTAGTACAAAGTGATTGTTTACCTTTGTGTTATTGTTAGATTTGTCCTGTAACTAGCAGACAGCACCAATGAACCAACAGGCGTTAAGACTGAACCTACTTGAATACTTTTATAAACAAAATAGCACACACACACACAAACACACACACACATATATATATACATATATGTAAATATATATGTATATATATAAATATATATATATATACATATGAAAAACGATTGAACGAGTTGCAAATATCATCAGCAGAGTGCTCAATGTTAATTAAACCAGAGCGAATTAAAACAAAAATAAGAGGTTCAACAGTAGGCTTGATTAGGCATTTTATATACTATTTTGTTTCATGCTAACAATAGAATAGTAAAGGTAAACTATATATCGTGGATTGCACGATGGTGTGGATTGCACTATGGGATGTTTAAGATACAAAATTTTTAGGAAGAATTTGTTGGCGTGTCTGCAAGCTGTGATGAGTTCATTTTGCCTATTTAAGATGGACATGGGGGACTTGCAAAAGATGAAAAATTTTTCCCATAGGCACAAATTGCATCTTTTAGATGCTGGGTTGTATGCTTGTTTGAGGGTTTTCCATTTAAGTATATAGTCCATATTATTGTCCTTTAATTCCCAAATATAGTTACTCAGTTCAGTGTTAAATTTCTTTTTGGGTTTCTGAATGATGCTGTGTGCTTGTTATGCCTGGTCTTGAACGCGTTTTCTGTGAGTCCTACGTACGTTTGGTCTGGTTTGTTGTCAGCTGAGACTGTGGCTTGATAGACTACGCATTTGTTTAGGCAATTGCCTAAACAAATGCGTAGTCTATCAAGCCACAGTCTCAATGAATACACTAAAGAATAATTAACTTATTTTTAAAAATATTTTTTTACCTTCACCAAGTAAAGATGTGTTATTTTCTCCAAAATATATTCTATAGAATATCTTGTAATCTTCTGGACTCTGATGACGAGACACCCGATATGCAGGGGTTGTACGTGTAAGGCATATCAACGACTTCAACAGCAGCGACATTCTATTGTAAACCTTGTAGTGGATTCGAACTCCAGGGTCACTCTTTTCTGTCATTACTATCTTCCATGTTTCAAGGATCATTGAATCTCCCTAAGGATGAGTTAAAGAAAAGGAACTACATGAGTTGATCAAGTGCAAGCTAAACTACTTTAATAAAAGTAATAGCTCTAATCTGACTTAAGCGCACACATATCCACAGATAAGATCACCAATCATCCTTGACACTTTACCAGATGTTTGCCCCTCTTCGTCTAGAAGTATAAAGGTGTATCTGGTGGGATTTGGGATGAAATAAGGTACCAATTTAAAGCACTACTGACAACTGGTTGTGGATCCACAAATTGGCGAACATGTACAATGTCCAACTGGGAATATTTCCTAGGACATTTTTATATCGATCATCCAAAAGCTGGAATGAACTACCCCACAAATTAAAAATTAATTTCAAAGAATAATAATAATAATAATAATAATAATAATAATAATAATAATAATATACTTTATTTAAACACGGAGACACTTGAATCATCCATGGGTGTTTTTCTTCAAGGCCATGCAAGGCCATACATGATTAGAAAAGAAAAAATTATTGAAAACAAAATGAATTAAAGAAAACACCAAAAACATAATATGTTAACTACCAGTGAAACTCTGCTTGAAAATACATGGATTGGAAGAACATTCAAGTTCATTGGATAGGTCATTCCAAAGCATAGCACCATGATACAAGAGGCTATTTTTCTTTCCAAAATCATTTAAAATCAACTTTTTTTTCTTTCCAAAATCATTTAAAATCAACTTTTTCATTCCAAAATCATTTAAAATAATGCTTTAATATTGTATTTCATTATATTTATTAATTTTAATTTATTCATTGTTTATTACACTGTATATACTTTGTACACTGTACCACTTTGAAAATCAGTACTATAGTACTCAAAGTGCCTATAATATAAGGAAGATTAAATAAATAAATCATACACAGACCAAAGTTTTTCAACATGGAAACTTAACATCAATCTAGATACCCAGCTTTCTAGGGGGAGTTTGAATGTATACTGACATAATTTTAAACTGCACTGCAAGTCTCATTTAACGTATTTGTCACAAATTGAAGGATTGTTTGTCATACGTATCCCAGTGAGAGAACGATACAAATTACCTTTCATGCATCAGGTAAAAAATTATTGTCTTTGGGGAAGAAGAAACAAGTATGAAATCTCGCATAATTACAATGGATATCTAATTACAGTGTTCAATGACATTCATATTACCTGTTATTAGCCTAATTGATTAAAAAAATTGATAGGAAATTCCAGCAGTGTGAACAGATTGTCATTTGTTATGTGCACGCTGTGTTCTCCATAGAATTGTATCGTTCCACGACTGTCGTTCACGGTGAGTGCACAGCTTTAGAAGAATGTGAAACCATTCACATCCATCCTACCAGGTACCTATTTATACCCTTAGGTTAAGAGGGCAAATGTAGAAAGAGGATTGAAAATACACCTACCCTTCATGTAAGATGGATAAATTAAATTTTGCTGGTCAAACGCTATATCTATCATGAAATTTATATCTATTTGTTAAGTTTATAATACAGTACTTGCTCTGTCTAGATTACCTTGGTAATAATAATAATAATAATAATAATAATAATAATAATAATAATAATAATAATAATAATAATAATAATAATTTGAATATTTACTAAGCACTCTTACACAGATGGTCTCACAGGGTGAAAAAGGTGATTTTTGAGAGTTTTGAACTGTTCAAAGTTAGAGTGGGACAAACTTCACGAGATAGTTTGTTCCATAGGGATGGTGCAGAGGCACAGAAAGCCCTTTGAAAAGTGGAATTGGTAGAAAGCAAAACATTTACCTCGGCTGTCTTGAGTGATATTTCTATGCATAATGGCTTGTCAATCTCTGGAAGATGTTTATTTAACTGTTTTCTTGCTTCGACTTGTACTCCTGCTTTATCAACTACTGACAAGTTGAACTGAATAAAGGACAATGAAAGGATTTTATTTAAGTGACTTGGCTGCTAAAAGTATAAAAAAACATTACTAATGTTAACCAGAGCTTTCCTTGACCCCATTGGAAATGAGTTCAAACACATCTTGATCCAAGATAGTTTCTTTTTGTTTTTTGTTTCTTTGGTGAAATTTATACATCTTGATTTTTATTCAGTTGTTTTTAAATGTTGGTATTAATTATTTACCTTCTGATGTGTCTTTTAATGTTATACAGTATATCAATGATATACATTTTTACAAAGTGTTACCTGTATACTGTAGTTTGTATTGTTTTAATGATCTGTAAATCTCTCCCAATTTTAAATTGCTATGAGAAATAAATTTATCTTGAATTTTGAATCTTGAAGTTGTGTCTTTTCTTATGGGTAATCTTGGTTTCTATGTTTTAATGTTCAATGTGTTTTGTAATTTTATCTGTATTGTAATGATGTATCTTGGAAACCAATTAAAATCAAATCAAACTTGCATTAATATACATGGGATGGAGCAACCCTTTTAAGAAAGGAAGGGGGCATGAATGTTCGAGTGTAGAGAGAGTCATGTGGTGGTTGTGTAAGGGGGCTTCTTTTGTTAACTTGAGGCTGTATTTGGCTAACCTTTATTATTTAGTATCGTAATTTTCTAATAAGCTTTACAAAAATTTTTTTTTTACTAAAAATGAAGTGGGCGTACGCCATTCACGCCCCCTCTAAATCTGTCACTGACATGTTTATAACATATTTAAAGTGACAAAGCATAGAAAATGAGATGAAATATTACAAAGAGTAAAGTCAAATGTTAAAAGGCAAGCATCTAAAATGCAGCTCTGTAGATAAACTATTGTACACAACATAAAGTACTAATGTCAAGATTCAAGATTTTTATTGTTTCGAAAGCCATCGAGGGCTATCATCCACTCATTAACAAATAGCAATACAAAATCAATACAACAAATACCTTACATTACTAGTTACGAATGCCTAATTTAATTTTAATCTCAACTGCACTTTATATCAACGCTTTATTACTGAGTATCACAATGGTCAGTATAACTATTAGTAGCTCCTACAGCTAAGGCTGTTTACATAACTTCTTAACTGACATTACCTTTTTAAATTTATTCTACAATATTGTATCTTCAGCGAAAATGGAAATAGAAATAAAATAAGTTTCATGTTTTTATACAGGTTTTAATCATAAATGAATAGGTTCTGATATTAATCATAACTTAATAGGTTCTAATACATTATTTGAAAAAGCTTTTTTTGCTTTATTTGAAAAAGCATTATTTGAAAAAATTGTGGCTAGCTCAGAAAGCACTCCGTGGTATCACCTGCTAGGTAAGTAGATGCTTAGTAACGAAGCAGTGTTACATGGTACTAAGACGTAGTGACACAGTACTCTATGATAAGACCTAAATACTTTAATTAACATCATATTAACACTTACCCAGTCAGATCTAGATGGTGTACTCCCTGACCTTGTGTTGACCTTTTCACCTAGCCTTGCCTGAACAATCACTTGTATACACTGAAATGATTCAACAAAGTAGTTCAGTAGTTGTATTAGTCAGTATATATATATATATATAT